AGTACTAGACAATGAACCATCAAAAATGCACAATGCACACTCATGTGGCCTGGGGCCCACAGACATAAACCATGACAGGCATTGTCTTTCATTGTAGAGACTAATTTTTAAAAAATTTGATCTGTAACCTATTGGTTGTTCGGGAGGTTGTGATTTAATTTCTATGTGTTTATGATGTTCTTGTGGTTTTTTTTGCCATTTATTGCCAATTTCATTGAACGTTCTTCTGAAAATATGCTTGGGATAATTTCAGGGCCTTTCATGTACTTCTATGACCTAGAATGTCATAGATTCTATGACCTAGGATGTGTTCTATTTTGGAGAGTGTCCTATGTGCTGCTGAGAAGAATATGTATTTTGGTGTTATGGAGTGGAACACTCTATAGATGTGTGCTAAGTCTATGTACTTGGAAGTTTGGTTCAATTATAATATTTCATTGTTGATGTTTTGAGATCCTCCAATAAAACTGTTTTAGTATATTTGATTTTTCATGTCAGTTAATATTTGTTTTATATAGTTGAGTGCACTAGTATTTGTTACATATATGTTTATGATTATTATCTCTTCCTCTTGAATTGTTCTCTTTACAAGGATGTATGACCTTCTTTGACTCTTAATCAGTCTTAGCTTTTGAAATCCACTCTGTCTGCAAATAGAAAAGTACCTCTGCTTTTTTCTGGGTTCCTGTTGCATGGAATATTGTTTTCCAATCTTTGACTTTCAGCTTATGAATTCCTTTTTGGATTTAATGTGTTTCTTGTATGGAGTATATTGTTGGATCTTGCTTCTTGATCCATTATGTCAGTCTATTTCTTTTGATTGGTAAATTGAGACAATTAACAATGATAGTTATAACAGATATGTACTGACTCATCCATATCATGTTGTTTTCCCATTGTTGGCTCCCTCTCCCTGCCTCCCCATTTAAACATTTGCCTTGTCTGGTGGATTCATTCTGTTGGGGTTGATGGAGTGGTGGTAGTCCTTATTATCCCTTTATAGAGTATCTTTCACAACATTTTAGAGTGTTAGTTTGGTTTTCATGAATTTTCTCAGGTGTTTTTTGTTATTGAAGTATCTTATTTCTCCATCAATTTCAAAAGATATATTTGTGGGGTACATCAATATAGGTTGGAGGTTGTTTTCTTTTAGGACTTGAAATACTTTAAGCACTCTTTTACTTAACAATTTGTATTGAAAAGTCAGCTAGGGGCTGGGGATTTAGCTCAGCGGCATAAGCACCTGCCTTACAAGCAGACAGTTGTGAGTTCAATCCCTGGTACCGATAAAAACGAAAAAGACCAAAAAAAAAAAAAAGTCAGCTGTCATTTTGATGGGTTTTCCTTTATAAGTGATTTGTTTCTTTTCTCTAACAGTTTTTAATATTGTGTTCTTATGTTGCATTTCTGGAATGTTGTCTATTACATACAAACAAAACTAGATGTTTTTTGGTCATCCTGTTGAATTTTAATATACCTCACTTACTTGTATGTCAAATTATTTTTCCTTTCCAGGCAAGTTTTCTGCCATGATGTCTGTGAACATGTTTTTTTTGTATCAGTTGTACTATCTCCTGCTTTTTTATTGACTCCAATCAATATGATGTTATTTTTATTTCCATCATCTAACTGCTGCTGGATTTATTTCTTGTAGCCCCTTGCTATTTTTAAGAAATCTTTCTTTTTGTGATTGCTGACTGCAAGCCTATCTTCTATATTTGAGATTCTGCCCTCATATTGGTTTATTCTGCTATAGATACTTTCAATGGAATTTTTATTCTCCTGGATATTTGCTTGAATCTATTTTATGAATTCCATTTCCTTCCTATGTTGGACTTTTAAGGTTTTCATCATTTTCCTCAGCTCCTCTAATTTTTTAAATCTGCATCTACTCTAGAGTCAATAAGCATGTTTTTCTTTGTCATTACTATCTCTGTAGTTATATGAGAAAATATTTTGGATTTGATTTTTTCTAGAGCCTTGTCCATTTGCTTTGTTGTTAGCACTTCAGAGAGGCCAAGGAGGGGTGACTTTTTGATTGTCTCACTTCATTGCCCTTTGAGTTTTCCTTAGATGAACTTGATGTCTGGGGTTGCATCTTAAGTGTCTTTTCATTTTCTAATTATTAAAAAATTTAATTCCTTGGTGGATGCTTTTAAATTGCCTGTTGTGTGTTGCTTTATTGCTAATATTTAGAATACTTAGGAAAGGACTACATTCTCAGAGGCATCTTCCAAGTGTAACTGGCTTCTGGATTTTGAATCCATTGCAAGATCCAACCTCTTCAATTTAATCAAGATTTTAAAAGTTGCTGTCTACTTGGCCCACACCCTGGTTCTTCAGCACTGGCCCACGAGATTTTCTATGACGGTCAGGCAATCTCAGTCTGGGTATACCAGTAAGAACAGCTGGTTAGAAAAATTATGTCTCTTTGGCAAAAGTGTTATAATTAGCAATAACAATAGTATGAAACATAGCCTAGAAAATGACAAACTGAGGTAACTATTAATTTGCCACTTTTATAATCATATGATCTAGATTTTGTGGTTATGTAACAAAATGTAAAACAAACCAGGAAATTGTGTGCAATAAATAAGCCCTCAATATGCCAATGTTACCCTCAGTGGAGAAAATTTAAATAGATTAAGGGAAAAAAATAGAGAAATAGAAGAAGAAGAAGAGATTAGAAGTAAGGTGGAGGACAAATGAGGATCACAGAAACTGAGAAACTGGCACTGAAGACAGAAGGGAAAGTGAGAAGAAAGTAATAGAAAGAAAAACAAAACAGAAGGACTAGAAAGAAACTAGAAACCATGTTCACATTTATATAAAAAAAGATCAAACAATGATGAGAAAAAAATCCAACCAACCAACTAAACAATAAACAAAACTCCCTCAAAACAAAACAAAGCAAAGCAAAACAAGACAAGACAAAAAACAAGAGAGAGGAAAAAATATCCCTTTCAAGATGTGTCTCCTTTGTCACTAGTAGATAATGTGTGGAGATGGAGTCCAGATATGTGTGTATTTATTCCAGCAAGCCAGCAGTTGCGGTAGTAAGATAATCTCAGCGATACTGCACCTATACTTCCCCTGAAGTTCAGAGTAGTTTCTGGCTGTGAAGCTGGAATCAGACTTGTTTAGTCTGCAGCAATCACAGCACCTTCTGCAGGCCTGAATTGAGCTAGAAGTCATTATATGAAGCCAGCAGTTGATCCGAGGTAAGCTCAGTTGACCCCATTCCAAGATATCTCCCAGCCAGTTTCCCTCTTCTGTGGGATGGCCAAGTTCACGCCACTCACCAGCCAGTACAGTCTACCGTGTCCACTGCTCTGTTGCACTGCTGCATCTCTCCGTGGAGGCCTCTGAGGTTGCTAGTAGTCACTGTGTGTCCACAAGTTGAAACACTCCTCCCAGTCAGTGAGTCTTGACTCAGGGAGAAGGTGCTGCCTGCCTTCTCCTCCTTCTTTGAAATTTCTGTCTTTGTTTTCCTTGCGGGATTCAGTTCTCATTTCAGATCCTTTGAGTCCAGGGGACTCACTTCTCTCCTTCTTGTCTTCCTCACATTGCTATATTCCACTCTTTGGATGCTCACTCTCAGAGAGGCTCCTTCTCTGTTGCTTACCCCTCTGCTATCTTCCCAGATGTCTTCTAACTTACCTTTTAATGTCCAACTACTGCCAAAATATTACTGCCTCTCAAGTTTTCTCCTACTTCATGCTGTTGTCTTCTTATGAAGATCATTATTCCTAGCTAGGCATGGCGGTACATACTTATAATTCCAGTACTTCAAAGCTGAGGCAGGAGGATTGCTATGAGTTCAAGGCCAGTCTGTCTACATAAATGAATTCAAGGCCAGCCTACACTACCTAAAGAGACCCTGTCTAAAAAAATCTTTATTCTTTCACCCAGTATTCATCATGTTTGGTAATAATTCTATTCTACTTATAGTTAGATTTTTAGGGTTTTTTTGGTTGTTATTTATCCTTCTGTTTACTATCAAGTTCAAAGGCTAGGTTTTATTTTTGAATTAATAAGTCTCTTCATTCTTTTTTCCCATCTTGTGGACATGCTTTGTATTTAGTGAATATTGAATAAAAATTTACTGACTTGAGTTGAATACCTGGCATAAAATTTGGGCAGTTGCAGAAAATAGAGATTCAATGTTTAAACTAAACAATATATATAGGATCTATTCTATAGGTACAGATCATCTGTGGTGTATGTGTGTTTCTGTTTGTGTGTGTGTGTGTGTGTGTGTGTGTGTGTGTGTGTGTGTGTGTTATTGGAGACTGAACCTCAGGCATTGTATATTCTAAGCAAGTGCTCTACTACTAAGCTTAGTTCACCAAATACATTTCTGTGCCATGTAAAGATGTGACCCTATCAGTCCTTTATGTTATAAAGAGTTCTAAGTTAAGCAATAATAATTTTCACATTGACAGAGTAAAGGAATCGTTTTTTGGAATTGAGAATTTTAACTTGGTATTCCCAGAGAGATCTCAGATCATTCTCATTTTAGGAAAGCTAGTCTTTCTATAGATAGCAGGTGCTGCCTCAGACACTGAAGGAGCATGGCATTGAGCTTCTATCCTTCCAGAGTTAGGAGCAGTTCCACTTTGAGATTCTGTGGACTGGCTTTGACAGAGCCATGATGCCAGTGCTGCAACTGAAGGTTTAAAGCACTGGCCTGACCATTTAGGAACATGGTGGACAATAAAATACCTGAAGTTGACTCATGTGTTAATTAATTGAAAACATTTATAGAGAGAACATGATATACTAGATATTGAAATAAGGAAAACGGAAAGTTCAAAATTAACTTGAGTTTTTTTGCTGTAAAACTGTGAGGATGATTGTGATGATAGAACATATGTAAAGTTAAATGTGTTTAGTTTAATAGTTTGCTTTTGGAAGAAATGTTATATATTAAATGTATTTTTCTGAGTTTTAAAGTTTACATGTTTTGTTTTGGGGGGGTATGTGCCTTTTCCCCCCAGGTATTATCGGAATTAGATATCACGGTTCCACTTCAGCTCTTAATAAGTATGTTTTCTGATGGAGTTAATTCTGTCAAAGAATTGGCAAATCAAAGAAAATCAAGAGTCAGTGAACTGTCAGGGAACCTTGCAGCCCGAAGGGTAATTATTGCCTCTTCTTGTTTTATAAAAATGTTGAAAACCCTTGTCACTTGTACCAGGCATAAAAGTAGTGTTATAAAATCTCCCTGAAAACACTTTTGCATCACGTCTCATTCCATTAATCTTTTAATTACTTCAAGTAAGAAAAGTGCTAAACCTGGTAGATTTAATGTAGTGTTTAATTAGTAAGTTGGGTTTTATTTTATCTTAAAATTTTTTTTAGTTCCTACCACAGTGAAAGGAAAAAGAGTAACTTTTCTGTTAATATTAGTTTTTATGGGTGGGGAGAGAAGGGATTGTCTCCTAGTGAATAAGAATTTCTTACCAGCTATGGAGGTGAGGGGTTTTGATAATTTTTTTCCCTGCGATTGTGTTATGGAAAGAATTAAATCATCTGGTAGCAAGTGTAAATGGTGCTGTCACTTGCAACTAATTGAGATTATTTTATTGACCTGTTTGCGCCTTTGTGGATGAGAAACACGTAAATTTGTTGAAATTTTAAAATGGTACTAAAGATTGAACCTTGGGACACTCTATCACTGAATTATATCCCCAGCCCTTTTTACTTTTTGAGACACAGTATTGCTAAGTTGCCCTAGTTGGCTTTGAACTTACAATCCTCTTGCCACAGCTTCCTGAGTAGCTGTGATTACAGCTGTGTGCCAGCATGCCCAGCATATTTCTTTTTGATATTTAGTGTCTTTTTCTTATACATTTGAGTTTTTTTCTATTTTCCCACATTTTTATTACTGTATGTTAGCTATATAGAGTGACGGGTTTAATTTTGCAGATTTGTACATAAACATAACCTACTTTAATTATTTCCCCTATGGAGGACCTGATGGAGTTTCTAGTTGTATGAGACATTCTAAGACCATAAGCAATTTTGGAGAGACTGACTTATACCTGAGAGTTCACAGGGACTGTCCCTGTCCTTGTCAAGCCTCTCCACAAAATTTCCCCCACTGTTCCACCTGACATCTAGCAGCTAGAAAATGTAACATGAAAATGGGATTGTAGTTGGTATTTATTACTTTTTTGAAATCATCACTTCTTTCTCACTTGCTGATAAGAAAAAACTACCAATTACTCAAATTTATTTCTTTCGTCTATAACCGTATGATGACCTTACTTTGTAAAGAACTTTATCTTATGTGAAATGTTTATCCTGAGTGAGATAACAGAATTGAGAGCCCATCAGGGAATAACTTATTATCCTCATTTTATAACTACTTAACCTGATGTTCTTTTAGTGAACTGTAGTGGTTTCCTATAACTACTGCTGTACAGATATTCTGATTCTTAGAGGGTTACTCTTCCTCTTTGTGTTGAAAAATGGTGTTGGTGGAATGTTTTGGTCATTAGATCTTTATGAGAAAAAAATATTTGGGAGTGATACATTGATATATCACTCAGGGACTGATGCAAAATTTTCCTAGATAGTTAAAATGAAGGAACTTTAATGGGAATTCTGTCTTTAGAGTTTTAAGAAAGATTAAAGAAGCAATAAGCTTTGGTGAGGCACCCAGTATCCAGTAACAGTCCAGTAAAAAGCCACTATACCCCAAGGTGAATGGAACAAGGAGAAGAACTCCGGGAGCTGACTAGGGGCTGCAGCTGCAAGGAAGGGCTGGAAGAGAAGCTGTAGAGTGATGGCAGCACACCTAGAGATGTAGCTTTAAAGCTGGAGGAGTGGCAAGAAATACTCCTACCTCCTATGTCTCCAGCCTCACCAGGTCCTCTGGTGGTCATGCCGTCCATTGATTGAAGCCATTTGGAAGCCAGGCAGCAAAGGAGCCTGAGGAAACTCAGGTCCACAGAATCTCTGGACACAAAGTAGGGCAGAGAGGAGGAGTAAAGGCCTGGAGTAGGGTATGGGGAGGGCAAATAGAGAATAGCCAGTACAACAGATTTGACATGTATTGTTTCTCACAATAGTTTAATCATTAACTAGTCATATCATTCAGGGTTTCTGTGTTTCTGATTCTAAAATGTGTCTTACATATTTTGCTTATGTAATTCCTTATGCTTTTAAGTTATGGTAGAGTCAATCTAGTGTATTTTAATTGAAACTGTTTGCTGGAATAAGAAACATAATAATGGAGAGTGCCTTCATCCTTTAGAGTGCTAATGTTTCATTCCCTGACAATTAGTCTGAAAGTTTAGATGATTTTGTTTATTTTTTTATATTTTGAAAGAATCCATAATTTTGGGAGGTACTAGTGCAATTGGGTATATCAAAAGAAACTGAATGACAGCTGAAAATGCCTTCCATAGAAACTTTAACTGTTTTATTCTGACATTTGAGTGTCTGTGTGTTCACCTATCTGTGCTGACATTCTTTCTTGTAGGTGAGTGTTGCCTCTGATCCTGGTCGACGAGGTCAGCATAATATGCTGAGTCCATTTCATAGCCCTTTCCAGAGTCCATTTCGGAGTCCTATGCGTAGTCCATTTCGTAGCCCTTTCAAGAATTTTGGTCATCCAGGAGGAAGGACTATTGACTTTGATTGTGAAGATGATGAAATGAATCTAAATTGTTTCATCCTCATGTTTGATCTTCTCCTGAAGCAGGTAGCTGAAGCATGAGCTTCCTTTAGTTCAGAGGTGAAGAATGAGGGAAGGCATTATATAGTGATTCTTTCCATGTGTTGGGCATCTTCACACTTGCTGAAATTATGCAGCAGCACTCAAGACATTTTGCAAACTCCTTTGGGAATTTCCTAAAGAGTCTGAAAACTACTTGTGTGAATATCTGCAATGATGTTGACATGTGAAAATGGATTTGAATTTTAGAAACATCCTAGCATCATTAGAATTGATTCTGTTGAATAAATTGGATGAACAAACTGGATAATGCTATTGTTGGGAAGAGCAAGGTACAACTCTATAGTGATGGAGCTAATTTTAATATATCTTATAAATGGATTTTCAAGATAATTTTTAAAAGATAAGTTAAAAAAGCTTTGATGAGTACATGTTTTTATAATTTTTATAATTTGAAGCAATTTCAGATTTTCAGAAAAGTTGTAGACTAGTACAAATAATTCCTAAATACTTCTCAGATTCTTTAGATGTTAACATTTACTTCTCTCTCCCTCTGTTTGTTTTTCCATATGCATATGCATGAATTTTCTCAATAAATTGCTTGAGAATAAGTTGCTAATTTCATATCACTTTACCTCTGAATACTTCAGAATGTATTTCCTAAGATATAAAGACAACATTCTTTTACATAACCATAATAGTTATCAAAATCAGGAAACATTGTTAGCTACTTTACAGAAATTATGCATTTAAGGTTGATCATAATAGTATCATCTTTATAGAAAAAGGAAAAGAAATACCCAAAAATCAGTTTTGATTCAGAAACAATCCAGGATCACTCATTACAATTATTTGTTCTGTTTTCTTAGTCTTCTTTAATCCAAGACAATCTCTCGATCTTTATCATTTATGTCCTTGACATTTTAAAAAGAATGTTGTCATTTTGTCGAAGGTGTTTAAATTTAAACTTAGTTGATGTTTCCTTTTGAAGCATCATTAATTTAGGTCATACAATTTTTGGCAGAAAGATCACAATTGTAATGTTATGTCCTCTTAATGCATTATATCAGAAGGCACAAGATATAATAATGTCCCCTTACTAGTGATCACTTAGTTCAGGTGGTTAATGTGATTTTTGCCAACTTTTTTTCCAGAGTCACTATAATCATCCCTCTGTGCTTATAGATTCCACAACCACAGATGCACTAACAAAAGAGGGAAATTTTTTCTTTAATTTGCTTATGTATTAAACTTTTTCTTGTCATTTTCTCAAAACATTGTGATATAGCAATTATATAATATTTACATTGTATTAAGTATTATATGTGGAGATGATTTAAAGTATATTGGAGGATAGGATAAGCACAGGTATATAAAATATTATATAAATGACTTGAGCATCTGTGGATTTTGATATCTTTTTAAGGCTCTAAAGTCAATCTCGTTGCCAGGGATATAGCTCAGCAGTGTAAGCGCCTACCTGAAGTCAATCTCCCACAGATACTGAAGGAAAAGTGTATTCTACTTTTTGTAATTAATAAGTAACTTGTGGGGGAAGAAATTTCCTTTTTCTTATCTTTCTCTAACTAGTTCACTAATTGATAGATTATTGATGCCTGAGTCAATTATTTTATGATGGCTACCAAATGATAATTTTATGGTTCCATCATTTCTTTTCAATTAATTAACTGGTATTCTACTAGAGGGTCAGTTCCTTCTCTCTCCTATTTATGTGTTGATTTATTTATTTGCTTATTCTTACATACCCATTGATTTCTAATTTATTCAGTGGGTTATAATCTGTTGCTATGATAATTTGTTTTGTTGTTCATTATTATTCTATATTTGGCCACTGGGAATCCCTTCAATATGGCCCTGTCTTCCTTTGACATATCATATCTTTCTTTAAACATTTTCTTAATTTATGGCATAATAAAATGTTTGAGGCTCATCTTATGTTTTCATAGCTCCAGCTCCCCATTTTTCCAAAAATCCTGGTTCCTTTTAATGAGTCTGACTTGGATAGTATATGAAGAGCAGCATTTTTTAAATAAGCTACGTCTCACAAAGTTATGAATTTAAAAACACTTCTCTTAAAATACATGGTTTAAAAACACATGATTTTAAAAAAATTCCTATTACTTTGCTTGTGTTCATACTCTTTTTAGAAGAATCTAAGGAAAGTAATATATATTCGTAGCATTAGAACCTGTATTGTCTTTAAATAATTCAGTATTGCTGTCAGTTAGGGAAAATTATCGCCAAGTACTATGCCAATGTAATACTGGATAAAAGGACCAAACTCCTTCTTCTTCTTCTTCTTCTTCTTCTTCTTCTTCTTCTTCTTCTTCTTCTTCTTCTTCTTCTTCTTCTTCTTCTTCTTCTTTTTCTTCTTCTTTTTTCCCCCTTTTTCAATATCTTTCAGATGGAGTTGCAAGATGATGGAATCACGATGGGTTTAGAGCACAACTTGTCAAAGGACATTATTTCTATTATAAACAATGTCTTCCAGGCCCCCTGGGGGGGCTCCCACACCTGCCAAAAGGAGGAAAAAGCAATGGAGTGTAACTTATGTCAGTCTAGTATCCTCTGCTATCAGCTTGCTTGTGAACTCCTGGAGCGATTAGCTCCCAAAGAAGAAAGCCGGCTAGTGGTAAGCAGTTGAAGAAATGAAATGAATGATGTACAGTAGTAAGAGAGACTGCAGTGGCTACTGTAATGGGGCCTTCCTCCAGTATTATCTTAATACTCCATGCTGTTTTTTGTGAGACTGTTTTAAAAGAAAGTTTTCCTGAGTGGTTTTCCCCAACTCAGGCCCTTGGAGGGAGACGAGATGGAGCTACACTATACAGACTTCTCTTAACTGGCCTGAATTAATGTTATAGCAACTTTGTTCACACAGTTTTCATGACTATAGAACATCATTAGCATTCTTGGAAGAATTTTTATCATAAAGTTATTTTACAAAGTGTAGCCATGAATACAATAAAATATAGATTGTATATGGAGACCGCTCTAAGGTAACTTTAGTTTTTAAAACTCATTGACTTTTTATCTGCAATCAAGAAAATCTTTATTTCTTTTTCTGCTTGCTTTCATTTTCTAATTTTCAAGGAAATTGTCTAAAGAGAAACAGCTAAGATATGCCTTAGTCCATGCAATTTCTATTTTCTGTTGAACCTAGTTTTTATCTAAGACATATAGCACAAAATACCCTCATCAGAGGTGGGAAGCATGAGTTATTTGAGCTAGTACTTTCTTTCCCTGTCACCTTCAGTGGTACTGGGAATTGAACCCAGGGTCTCTGAGCTATACTCCCCAGTGCTCCTCTTAAATTTTGAAATAGTGTCTCACTAGATTGCCATGCCTGGGCCCAAACTTGTGATTATCTTGCTTTCAGTCTCCCAGAGCGCTAGAATTGCAAGCGTGTGCCACCTCATCCAGTCCTGTTTTCTCTGCCTCTCTTTTTCATTTTTCTCTGTTTAGTAGAAAAAACTTCTTTGAAAGAGAAGTATACCATTCAAGTAATAAAATATTTCTTCAGTTTCAGCTCATTTATATCATTAGTCCTATTTGTTTCAACATAGCATCCCTATGGATGTTATAGATGTTTAACACAGCCATTGGATACTTACTATAAAACACTCCCATCTTCCCACAGCCCTCACTACCCTGACTCTGGCACCCATCGTCCTCCTGTCTTCTACTATGACTGTGAATGTTTTAGCTTCCACACATAAGTGAGAACTTGTAGTATTTAGCTTTCTGTGCTTGATCTAGCTCATATAGCATAATATCTTCCAGGGTGAATGATGTGCATTTGTTAATATATAATAAAATACAATTTAAAAAACCCATCAAACCAAATCAAAACCAGTCCCAGTAATAATAATGAAAGAACAAAAGCTAAAGTCAGGAAGCTTAGAATCTAATCATGATAATACAGTGTAATGAGCATTGCAATCGAGATTTGAACAAGGTAACTTGGAGTTCAGACAAGGAGCAATGAATCCAGTTTAAGTGTGTGATAGTCAGGGACATCATATTGGAGAAGATGTGATCGGAACTAATACTTGAATTAACTCATTCATCAGAGCAGAGCTCTAATCACCTCTTTCAGAGTGCTGAGATTATGTGTGTCCACCATCTCACTCAGCTTATTTGATCTTTCTTTTAATCAAGTGAATAATTTGCTTTTCTTTTTCTTTTAAGAAAAGGTCTCACTCTGTAGTTTAGGCTTGCTTTGAACTCACTGTGAACTCACTATGTAGCCCAGGCTGACCTCGAATTTACAGTGATCATCTTGCCTCAGCCTCCTGAGAGCTGTTATACTGTGTCATTTTTGACAACATGGTTCTATGAGACAAAGACAGAAACAAACATAACGTGGAGAAATTGGGCCATCAAAACAATCCCTCATGTGCAAATGTGTTTGACATTTGTCATAAGCTCAAAATTAATTTGGAGATGAAGCTAAAGGATTCAGTTTTTTTCTCTCAAATTTTATGGGAGTGATGCCCTTTAATAAAAGAGGATTCTGCTTAGAACATTTAGTCTCCACTTCATTCTCTGGCAACCTTAGCTGTTTTGTCCTCCTGGGACAAGCGGAAGATAAGAGAGTCCATGAGGACAGGAAGAATGGGCCAGTAGTTTGCAATATAACTCCCTGTTGAGAGCAGTACCAAAAATGTGAGTTATCAGGTGAAGGTAGAAGATTCAATATGCAGCAGGCAACTTCTCCCTGTAACAACAACATGAAATTCACTTTATGACTTGACATGGTTATTATTGTTGTTACTGGGCCTAGGAACGTGGGCAGCTTCAGTAAAGCTGTGAAGCTGCCAAAACACTTTTCAGAGCACTGTTAGGGACTGTTTTAGCACTGGGTTTCTTTCTTCCTCCTGTCCTTTATCCCATCAGTCTTTATCTCCTTCTTGCTTTGATCAAGCCGTCATATACTTCTTGAAAAAAATCTTTCCTGGTAAAAGTATTAGCTCTGAGGATAATTTTGAAAGAGGATATATGAAGATGAAATTTTAAAGTACAAAGATAGAAGAATATCCAGAAATTAAATGTTTTAAATGGAAACCATACACAGCGCTTTCTGTTTTTAATATATAAATACAACATATAGTATATATAAATACAGAATGTAATGCTCAGTATATTCACATTGTTGTACAGCTACTCCCCAAGTCTTTTTTACTTTTTAAAATGGAAACTCTAGGGGCCAGGGATATGGCTCAATGGCATAGTGCCTACCTGGTAAGCGCAAGGTTCTGAGTTCAATTTCTAGTACCACACAAGAAAAAAGGAAAAAAAAAAGGAAACTCTATAGGACTATTATATAATAATTCCTCATATTTTTTGCCTCTGTCCCCTGGAAACCAACATTCTACTGATCTGTGGGTTTAACTATAGATACATTACATAAATGATGTTATAGCCTATGTGTCTTTTTGTGACTGGTTTATTTCTCTTAGTGTTATGCCCTCAAAGTTCTTCATTTGATAATATGTCTTTCATTTTTAAGGCTGAATAATATCTCATTTCATGGATGGATCACAGTTTGTTGATCTGTCTCTCTGCTGATGGGCACTAGCACATGTCATAGGCATTTCTTGCTTTCAGAAATTTGACCTGCCCAGCTAACAAGCCTTTACATTTGAATATCTTTGTGAACTCCTCAGTGCCTCCCAAGTAGGTTCAACTGAGTAAGTGGGTAAAAGTCCCATGGTGAGTGGGATACTGATCTTGGGGATTAAAGCAGAGGTAGGAGAGCAGCCGAAGAAGGTTGAACAGTGTTTTCATTATTTCTCCATATTTATTTCAAGTGAAAGCAAATGCTTTAGCAGCAGATCTTGTACCATTAGGGTAACAAGCTCAGGCTCTTCTGAGGTGTGGTCCTTTTGCACTTCTGGCTCAGCACAGGGCTGAATAGTACAGGCTACAATTCATCTTTATTGACCTGACCCAAATTGTTTTTGTTATACAGCCCTCCATGGGCTGCTCATCTGGTTGCTTGTATTGTTGCAGGAGCCCACAGACAGCCTTGAGGATAGCCTCCTTTCTTCTAGACCAGAGTTCACTGTAGGACCTGAAGGAGAGGAGGAGGAAAACCCGGCAGTCAAGCACGGGGAGAACCCAGGCAATCGCACCGTGCCCACAGAACATGCTGGTAGGTGAATGTGAATGAGGAGTAGCATGCAGTGGGCACTTTCCAGTTTGCACAAAGCCTAATGTTCAGATCTCTGATTTCTTAGGTTAGTAATGACTTAGGCAGATTCAGCTGTGTCTTCCTTAGAGTAGATTTGTGCAGCTAAACCTTGTCCCACCAGATTATGAAGTGAATGTATCCATATGGCTCCAGGGAACCCATTTTCTTGAACAGCTCATTACCAAGAAAAATTATTCATATTAGTGTAGACAGTTAACAAGGGGCCTACACGATATACAGAAGTAGCCAGGTGGACAGTGCGCCTCGCCATCCAGCCTAGGGCACAAGCTGCTCAGGAAAGTGAGGTGTACTGTCCAGGGTCCTGGCTAAGTCCTTGTGTGCCCAAGTTGCAGGAGAGTTCTGTTTCTTCTATCCAAAATCACGTTGCTTTGGCAACATACCCAAGTTGCTGTTGAGATTGTCTGCACTCTCCACCTCAGCCTTTCACTGCGATTCCTGCACATCACATAGCTCCTGGATGTCTTATTCAGAGCAAGGTAATTATTGAACAGAATGAACTGCTTTTACACAGATTATAAATATGGTCAATAGCTAGATGTGGTGGGGCATTATAATGCCAGCATTCTGAGGCTGAGGCAGGAGGATCACAAATTTGAACCTCATTTGAGCAATTTAACGATGTAGTAAGACCTTGTCTCAAAAATTTAAAAAGGCCTAGAGATATAGATCAGTGTGAAGGTCTGGGTCCAATCCTAGTACCACAAAAAAAAAAAAAAAAAAAAAAAGTAAAAGAGTACACATGTGAAGTATGACTATCTCAGCTTTCACTGTTTACAATCACTGAAGCTAAAGTTTAAAGAAACACTTGAGATCATCTGGTTTTTTTTTTTTTTTGCAGTATTGGTAATCAAGTCCAGCTATGCTTTATCACTGAGCTACACCCCTAGCCCTTTTATATTTTATTTTGAGACAGGGTCTTCCTGAGTTGCTCAGGCTTGTTCTCAACTTGTGACCCTCTTGTCTCAGCCTCCCAAGTAGCTAGGATAATCAATGATGAACCACTGTGCCTGGTTATTTCGTTAGTGTTTAACATGCACTTCTTGTTATAAAGGCTGTGTGTTGCTTCTTTAGAACTTCCTTCCCTGAAGTTACAGGTGATGGAAAAATGAGGATACATAATAAACCTCCCAGGCTTCTTGCCCAGATTCCACTAGAGTGCTCTGACTTGTTTCATTTTATATGTTGGCATGCTAAGTCAGATGTTGTTTAAACAAAATATCCTTCAAAAAAGAAATCTGGAATCTGCTGATCTAGTTTACCCTTCTTGCTTTGCAGATGAGAAAATAAATCTCAATTGGGTTTAATGACTTGCCTTCAGTCCTGTAGCTTATACGATTTATTTACAGTTTATGTTATTTTCAGAGGTGCTTTCAAAATTATGTGGGAGCATTAGAATCATCTGAAGAGGTGAAACACAAAAGAAGTGAATTCCACCCTCACTACTTCCTCCTAATTCCATATATATCTAGGGTAGGGCCTGGATATTAGAAACCCAAATATTACACAATCAGTAGCAGGAGTTAGGGTTGGAATCCCAGTCTCCTGGTTTACTTAGACCTACTGACCTTGTTTTAGAGGTACAGCTGCTGTGGTCCAGGCCAAGAGTTATGTATCTATTGGGGTTCATGTCTAAGGAAAGTAAGGACTGATGATCCAACAAGCTGCATTGCTTTTATATAAATATACTTTTAAGCCTAAAATAGCACATAAATCAATGAATTGTCATTTTTATTTGGATAGTAGTTAAAATTAAGTAATTTCTTTTTATAAATTACAAGTGTTAGGACTGGTGATAATAGCTCAGCAGCATAAGTATCTGCCTGGCAAGCACAAGGTCCTGAGTTCAATTCCTGGTACAAAAAAAAAAAAAAGATTACAGGTGTTATATGGTATCCTTGGTGATCAATTCCAGCATGTGCCTGCCTTCAAAAAATACCAACTCTGTGGATGCTCAAGTCCCTTATATAAACAACATAGTATTTGTGTACAAATTACACATACCCTCCTGTATACTTTAAATTATCTCTAGATTATTTATAATGCTTAATACAATGTAAATGCAATATAAGTAGTTATGCTACATTGTTACAGAATAATGACAAGAGAAAAATGCTTGTGTATGTTCAATAAAGATGCAGTCTTTTCTCTGAGTATCTTTGAACCACACTTACCAGAAGAACCTGTGGACACAGAGGGACAACTGTACTACTTTCTTAGATGAGTTATTATAAACTCCACTGTTTTGAACATTGGCCTATTTCTCCCTTAGACACTATGTCCGATGACTGTCCATTTCTAGCCTACTTTTTTTCCTTTGCTTTCTACTGTTTTGTGGGGCATAGTTTTAAACAATATCATCAGGGAAGCCCCTGCTAAGGTTTTTCCAAGACTAGTGTTTGTGCTGCTCGGAGATGCCTAGTGCTTGTGCTTTTTGGGCCTCTGGCAGTGATCCTAAGCTACTCTGTTTGAGAGCAAAGGGATGCTCCATAGAGGAAATCATAGAAGGCAATGGAAATCACTCTGTGATCTCTTCTTTCTGCATTTGAGGGCGTAATACCTATTTCTTATGGCAGTCAGATAGAGCCACCACTAAAAATAGATATAAAACTCTTCACATTAAACAAAATAGATTCAAGTGCTGAGAACAAGCATTTGAAATACCTTTTAGTGGAAGAATCCCAGTAAACTGTTTATATAAGCCAAGAGGATTGGACTGCCATTGTCTTTGGTTCTGGGAATTTCTAAAACTTACAGTGGCATGTTATTAGTGCATTTATTACTAGTTTTGCTGTCTGGCTAATTTGTGGATTCTTCGTTGTAACCATAACCTGTATTCAGAAGAGTTTCTAAACCATAAAGAAAAAAGGTTTAGAGATCCTCATTGGAAGATAAAACCATGAGCAGTGTTCTCATCTGAGGATACTCTCCTTTTTCAAAAGACCCTCATTTTGTGTTAGTCTGGGAGATAAACCCTAACTTAGGTGCTATATCAATTTGAATACCTCTCTTTTTAATACCTATTTATCTCCCTTTCAGTTAGGAAGGGGTGCCGTGGTTGTCCCAGGTTCTTTTAACGAGCACAGATCTGGGTGTGGTAGCCTGGAGAGCCAAAGATGTTCAAATATACCATGGCTACACAGTGCAAAATGGAGGCTAAGACTCCTAGAGTTAGAAGGATCCTGCAGTTACCTCACAGAAGGGATGTATACTCAATGAAATGAAAACATTGCCCAATGCATCTTTTTTAAATTTAAATTTTACTTTATTAGTATCTGTTAGCATTATATGCATTTTGCAATCATCTTGGGACATTGGAACACACAATTGCTCTTTTAATACATTCTATATCTTTTTAAACAATTTCTCTTGGCTTCACGATCACAGTCAGTTGATGAATGGTAGGGAAACAGGCAGGCTAATCTTTGTATAATTATTTCTTTACAGCAATAAAGAATGATACTGAAAGAAAATTCTGCTACCAACAGCTTCCAGTAACGTTGAGATTAATATATACCATTTTCCAGGTATATTTTCTGAAATATTTGAACATTTGGCTTGATAGCAAGGCTATTTTGAAAAACCTAGTAACTATGTGACTTTTTGTGTAGGAAATGGCTAAGTTTGAAGAGCCAGACATTCTTTTTAATATGCTCAATTGCTTGAAGATTCTCTGTCTGCACGGAGAATGTTTATACATTGCTAGAAAAGATCACCCTCAATTTTTAGCCTACATTCAGGACCACATGTTGATTGCAAGGTATGTCTTCTAAATGTTTCATTTTTTTCTTTACAATTTAGCCTTCAGCTGTAAAAATTAAAGTTAGAATAAGACTTACTAGCTCATTTGGGTTATTTTTCTCAGCCAGGACAGCCTAATTGTCAGTGGGAACTACTTTCATTTTGTCTAATGTGTAGGTTACTAGATACTGCATTACTAGATACTGCAGAAATGGAAAATGTAAAATAAAGATTATTTTATGTTTTTACTTGTTAATGGGTTAAAATATGGTATACCCTAGAAAACTGTCAACAGATAGTAGTTTGATAATTATCTCACAAGGTACCTTGGCAATTTGCAGTTTAGTTTAGAAGGGGATAAGTACTAGATATACAGGAGGAGACCACATGTTTTATTATTTAAATTGTTCTACCTTTGAGATTAAAGAAGGGGTAGCCCTCTCACAATAAACTCAGAACAAAGAGGATAAACTAGACCAAGATCCTGAATACTCTAAGGCACATGATCATCCTATGTATATAAGCCACTGTTAACCCAAGTGAATATGATAAAGGAATGCTTAGCACAATTCACAGGTGGGTGAGATGATTTCTGGATGAATAGTTAGTAGCAGATACCATTTGAATAGGCATTAAGGTAATGAATTTTGACTGGTAGAGATTTGAGACAAGTAGGACATTTTGTGGAAAGTAGAAATATTAAGAACAAACAGAAAGAAGGGACAAGAAATGGGTAAGGCCTACTTAGTGATACTAAGATTTCGTTTTTCTGCATGGTATAGGTTTAGAAGAATAAAAGAAAAAGAGCCTAGAGAAGTAGGTTTGATCCAAGTGTGAAGAGCCTTGAAGACAAGAGGCTTCTTTAAAGCTATTTGGTCATCCATAGAAGACCTTAAAACAGTGTATAGGCTCAGAACTGGGCTTTAACAGAAAAATGTAGGGAAAAGAGAGCTCCTTGGTAATTACTTGCATTTAAGGATCTGCAAAGTGTAGGGTTGCAAGGATTTAAGCAATATAAAGATAGACAGAACTTTTTTCTTAAAAGATTGTTTAAAAAGGGAGGGAAACATCTGATACTTGATGGGGGAAGAGAATGAATATCTAGGACTTTTAAGATTAAAAAAATTTGGACAAATTTATGATTAATGAGAAAGGGCCAGCAAACAGGGCCAGAAAAGAGAAAGTTAGTGGGGTCAAGTTCTGAGAGTGCAATCAAGTATAAAAGGTAGAGAAGAAAAGAGAAGTAGTGCTCTTTCCTTTGAAAGGAGATAATCTTTGAGGAAAAGACAAACCAGTGTTAAGGAAGTGTAGCAGATGACTTAAACCTTAAGAATAATAAATGCTAGTGTCTTCCTCTGAGAGGGAGGAAGATAGACATTGGGTTGAGGGACATAGAAATAGTAATGCAGCAGCTCACATGAGGAAAGCAGAGGCCTGCCCACCAGCAATAACCACATAATTGTCAGTTCCATGCCTGACCGAAGTTATCCAGCACCACTTTACAGTTTAATAATTATCTCACAAGGTACCTTGGCAATTTGCAGTTTAGTTAGTAGAAGTTTGGACTTTTTTCTATAGTGCTTAGGGCTTCAGAGAGGATGAGAGGGTGGTGGGATCCAGGGTTAGTGATCTGGTCATGGAGGAAGGCCACAGGAGAGGCCTTCCAAAGTTGATTAAATGGCTGACTCTGAAATCCAGCCTAAGACTGATGAAAGCAAAACCAGAAAAAGTGGTGCTTGGGAGATTATGGAAAATAAGACAAAGAGTCTCACTTAGGAGCAGATGGGAAAGCAGAGTGTCCCAGCCTTAGAGAGGTCAGGTTGGCGACTCATTGAACAGAGGAGAGAGAGGGCACTGTGTATGATGAGGTGAGGGCTCCGTGAGGGCAGAGTTCGATAAACCAAGATGCTGGGGGAGGCCTTGGTGAGAAGGAAGACTGAACAAACTGCCTGCTTCATCCAGAAATGGAGAGTGGGCCCATGGGTTTCAAAAGGAAGAGGTTGATGAGAAAGGCCTGAAAGAAGTAAAGGGAAATAAAGATCATTCTGAGTAAATGAAGACTGAAGAGAAGACTCACTGAAGGAGTAAGGGGAAGCCACATTATCGGGAAAATACCAAGTTTTAGCCACGATGAGGAAGGGGACCTTGGATTCATTCCCCAGAGCTGTCACACACTAAGAGGGTTAAAACAAAAGCCGTTCTCTCATAGTTCTAAAGTGCAGAGGTCTGAAATCAAAGTATCCTTTGAGCCATAATCCCGCTGAAGACTTCAGGGGAGAAAAGTTCTTTGCTTAGTGGCTGGGAATTTAGCTCAGCAGCATAAGCGCCTGCCTTGCAAGCAGGCAGTCGTGAGTTCGATTCCCGGTACTGATAAAAAGGAAAAAGACCCCCCCCAAAAAAAAGAAAAGAAAAAAAAACAAAGTTCTTTGCTTCTCAGTGGTTCCTGGTAGTCATTGGCGTTCTTTGGCTTGTTTCATCCCTTCAACCTCTGCCTCCATTGTCAAATGGCAGTCTTTGCTGTGTGTCTTCTATTCTTGTAAGACCATCTGTCATTAGATTTAGGGCTTATTCTAATCCAGCTTGAATTCATCACAACTAATTTTATCTACAGATACCTTATTTCCAAGTAAGGTCATGTCCTGAGGTTCCAAGTAGACCTGCAGTTTGGAGAGACACCATTAACCCATTTCAGAAGCATCCTGCGGGAAAGGTGGGGAGCTACAGAAGTCTTCCCATGATAAAATGGGGACTCTATGTGTACAGTAGGAGGAAGGAACTGGTAAAAGATGGACAAGGCTGTCCTGGGTGTGGGGAAGAGTAAGGATGACCTGAGAGGTTCAGAGTGGTTATCAAACAAACTACACATCTGGGCAGAAGCAGTGGGAACACTCGAGTATGTTAGATGCTCCACTAATACTTGGAAATTCTTTTTTTTTTTTATTTAAGGATAAAAAGAAAAAAACAGAAAAAGCGTACAAGTAATACAAAATTTAAAAAATAAACAGTAAGAAATCACTAGTTAATAGATTACATATTCTCATCTTAGAAATAGTTGTTCAAGTTACAAAATTAAAGCATATAAAGTGGACTTTCAAACAGTGAGAGTGCAAACAGTTTTGTTCAATGATCCAAAAAAACTCAGTAATATGGTTATCTATCTTATACACTTAAACATATATGCAGGTATAACCTTTAGAGCACTTTTCTTTTGTACAATGACAATTACACATTTTGGGTTTTATTACTCCCACAATTCTTATTACTGTTTTTGAAGAGAGTAAAACCAAATGCGACATATCAGAACAGAGTCAGTCAAATGAAAAGGATGGACATAATAGATAATGTAAAAACAAAATACAAGGTGATCAACAATGGTTACCATACTGCCTCTTGCTATTTTAAGAAGAATTGCAAGTTATAATAAAATTGAACAAAACAGTAAAGAATAAAACCAAAGCATTGGAAACATTACAGGACTTTAAAAGAAGATAATAGTCAACCAGAATGGGCGTCATAATGAATCTTATTGTCTTCACAGTTGTTGCCTATACTTTCGAACTTGGTACTATCAAGCAAAGCAGAATAGGGGAAAAATCAGTCAAAATAAGATGGTGAGGGCAATACAGGATTTCAAATCAAGTTAATAGGAAATCAAAGTAGTATCCTGCTATTTTTTATTTATTTTTCTCTTAATTAAAAAGATAAAAAGAAAAAAGTAAATAATTTAAAAGAGGGGGGATTGAGATAAGAGAGGGCATAACAACAGAACAGCGCAGGTTAAAACATAACCATTTAAGCAAAATAGTGTTTCACCACAAGATATCCTGACATAAAAATAGTTACCATAGTGTCTCTTTCCTTGAAATCTTTGAGTATAACTTCATATACTGTAGCACCAAACATATCAAGACACTATAAAACCATTCAAGAGAATGACATTATTACAGGGTATTTAGAACCAATTAACAGAAAATGAACAATGGTTTCTGTATAATCTCCTTGTCTATAAATTTTTTGCTTATATGATCATATATAATAAAATCCAATATGATACTACCTTTTAAGACTGATGGAGGCAGAAGAATACAAGTTTGATGGGACTTCAAAACAAGATGATACTAAATCAGCACTAGCTATTATGATGTCTTGTTTTCTCCAAAATAGCTGTTCCTACCATCTGATCTTCTCTGCCTCATTTCTGTTGAGCTCTTTTTCTGTCGTTTGTTGTCAGTTTGTCTTCATTTTGCTTTCTGCTCCATTCATTGTGGCCTCTCTGCCACTATTTCCTTGGTATTTTCCTTTTTTAGAATATCCTGCAGTATTCTCTGTAGAGTTGAATTGGTGTTTGCAAATTCCCCTAGTTCCTCTTTATCCTGGAAGCACCTTGTTTTTCCATCAATTTCTAGGGACAGTTGTGCAGGATATACCAATCTTGGCTGGAGGTTTTTATCTTTCAAAGCTTGAATTATTTTCCCCCATGCTCTTTGTGATTTGATAGTTTGTGCTGAGAAGTCTGCTGTAATTCTGATGGGTGTTCCCTTGTAAGTGATCTGTTTCTTGTCTCTGACGGCTTTTAATATTCTGTTCTTATATTGGATTTCTGGAATTTTGATTATTATATGCCTGGGTGTAGCTCTGCTTGGGTTGTAGGTGGCTGGGGTCATGTATGCCTCATACATCTGAGTATCTTTACCATTTGCTAAATTAGGGAAATTCTCTTGGATTATTTTTGTGAATAGCTTTTGTAGTCCATTTGTTTGTGTCCCTACTTCTTCTTTTATATTCTTAAGTTATAGATCCTCTTATCATCTTCTAGCCTTTGTATTGTTGCTGTTTGTTTTCTTGTTATTTTTAAGAAGTTTTTCATTTCATGCTCCCACATTACAAATCTGTCCTCCAGTTCAGATAATCTATCCTTAGTTTCTTTCAAGCTGTTATGCCAGTTTTTTATAGAATTTTTAGTTTCCTGGCAATCTCTTTGAACCTGCTTCACGTATTCTATGTTTTCTCTATTTTCTCCATCAAACAATTCTCTGCTTTTTTTCTGTTCTTCCATTCCACCATCTGTTTTTTCTTGGATGGTGCTCAGCATTTCTCTAACTATTCTACTTATATCTTGCTTCAGGTCGTTAATAACTTCATTCCTGAACTCGTCTATGAGGCTCTGGAGATATTGCTTTATGTCTATTGGTGCCGTGTCTGATATTGCGTGTTTCTCAGGATTGGGAGCCGAGGACCCTTTCTTGTTGCTCCCTCTTCCCATATTTTTTGTTCCTTTTATACAAGCATATATAGGAGGCCCAATTTCTTTCTTTGTCGGTTATAGTTTGTTTGAATTGCGCTGGCTAGGTGTTGCCGTCCACTGCAGTGTACTAGGGGGAGACACAGGCCTATGCTGGGCCTGCCCTTCCAGGTCAACCTACCAAAGGCTTCACTGCTAGGGTGCACCTCCAGGTGCTGAGACCTGATTTGGGCTAGCTTACTGGGTCTTAGTCAGTGGCGTCACCCAAGCCAGGCACTCGCCACCAATCCTGCTTGAGAGGGGAATATGTGACTGAAATCACTGCAGTGCCCTGATCCGGCTAGTCTGCCTAGTCCCAGTATGTCCTTTGCTGAAGCCTCCTACTCTATGGAAGGGTCCCCGATCCGCTCACTCACTGTAGGTCGATGCAGCACTCCTGGCCAGTCCTGCTCTCAACTCCATTCACTGCTTCCCACTCTCAGAGCTTTCGCGCCTCTCTCCTTGCCATGAGGATTGGGACACAGCAGCGGCTGCAGGAAATTCAAATTGCGGCTTTTAGTGGCGCGGGGCCCCAGCTTCCACACTGAAACCTTATTTGTTCCTGTTATATCACCGGGATTGTGCATCCAGTTGGTTTCTCTTAGTTTAGTTCAGTCATTCTCTTAGTTTAGTTTAGTTTAGTTTAGGACTTCTCGCCCGGCATGATTCCTGGATTTTAAGTGCGGTTTCTCAGAGAGCCTCCGAAGCTGCTGCTATCTATCTGCCATGTTCTCCTGGAAGTCCAATACTTGGAAATTCTAAACGGGCAGACTTTTGTTGCTAAAATAGCCTCTACACAAATATACTCTGTTCAAGTGGATTATTGTGCCATGGACCTGCAGTTCAACTTTTGGGGTTTCATAAGCCCAGGTTTTTTCCTCAATGCCTCGTCATGATACAAGAAATCCATCAAGAGCAACAAAAGGGTCCGAGGAAATGGTGTTCTTCTTTTCCTGCCAGATTCCCTTAGAGAACTGGGAAAGCCATTGAGACATACCTGATCTAGGCTTTCGTTGCCGAGATGGTTTATCTAGTGAAACTTTATATAATTTACTTCCTCCAACTGAATTAAAAGCTTCATGAAAGGACAGATTGTATCTCCTTTTTCCTTTGCATTCTTCGTAGGGACTATTGCATATTCTGGAAGCATCATCATCTTTACTTACAATGACAGTAGCTCAAGGTCTTGAGTTCCTACTGTGTGCTAAGCACCTTACACCATCTCTTCAAAAAGAATCTGCATTGGGAGGAAATGAAGTTCAGAGAAGTTGAGAAATTTGCACATGAATATACAGCTAATAATTGACAGGGTTGGGATTAGATCTCTACTTGTCTGAGTTCCTTTGCTCAGAGTAAACATACAGTGTTTGAAAATTTCTCCTTTTCATTTTATAGCTCTGATATATCTTCTCATTTGCAAGCAAATCTAGATTTGTATCTCTGAAAAATGGAGATAAACTCATTATTTCCATCTCTCAGTGGTGTATTAAAAGTTTTTTAAAGTCACAAATAATTTTGACTGTAATATTAACTTTGGAGCAGCAATGAAAATAAAGAACATGCTTTAAATGGCTGAATAAAAAATTTGAAGTCAACATATTACATTACATTCAGAATTATTGTGATAGTACTTGATAGTGAATTAGCTTAAACTTGATCAGGCACAAAATACCACCAGAGGACTTTCCTATCTGCCTTAGTCTCTCTTTCTGTCTTTCTGTGTGTGTGTGTGCGTGTGTGTGTGTGTGTGTGTGTGTGTGTGTGTGTGTGTGTTTCACTCCTCTCCTATGTGTATGTGTTCCCATCCCCACCTCTTTTATCCCATCTCCATCTTCCCTATCATTTAGCTCAAGTCTATATCAGCTTATTACGTAGAACTAAGCTTTGGCTTCTTGTTTAAGAGTTGGCTTCTCCCCACGCAGGCTGACCCTAGGAGGTGGGGAAAAGGATCCCTGGTAGCTCTTAACTGATATTGCTCTTTGTTATGCAGATTTCAGAAGAGAGAGCCTCTGTCCCCTGGCATCCATACTTTTCCCTGAAAAAAACATTCAGACATTCTTATGTTTGCACTATAGGCCTGTTCATGGACTAATCATTTTATTGAGGGTATTAAAGTACTTTGCCTCACCTGTGTTTTGTGTTTACTTGTGTGATAGGTAAGGAGGGAAGCTTGATCGACAACCTTGCCAGGTCTTGGAGAGGCTGTTACTAATATAAAGAATCGTCCTTTGCCTTAAATGGGAAGGGGTTGTTGGGCAGGGAAAATCAACAAAATTTCTAGATGGTTACTATAAGAAAAAAATTTAGATTATTTACAACCTCAATGTAACTAATGTTAATTTTGTGTATTAACAGTCATTGTTCATTAATATGTTGGAATTTATACTATGCAATTTTTAATCTTTATGCTGAGATGTAGCATTAAATGTTTTCTACATTGTTATGTCTACATTGTTTAAAAAATATATAGAACAGAGCATAGGAAATGTTTATTAGAAGAGTATATTCTTGTGTATAAGTGTAATTTTACCAAAACATCACTGCCAGCTATCTGTTACCATAAATTAAGACAATAGAATTCTTTTTCAGTAAAGGTTACAATAACTGTAGCTACTTTGCTTCTGCTTAATTCCCCAGCCTGTGGAGAGTTGTCAAATCTGAGTTCTCCCAGCTGTCTTCATTAGCGGTCCCTCTCCTTCTCCATGCTCTGTCACTTCCTCATGGTGCTGACATCTTCTGGACAATCATAAATGGCAATTTCAACAGCAAAGACTGGAAGATGAGGTTTGAAGCAGGTACTTCTGTATTAGTTTAAGACTTCTCTGGTCATAAGGTAACCCAGATGTCTAATTTTGACATGCATTTTTGGCCATCCTTTTTTCTCTTTTTAAAAGGCTTTCTGCTTTCTGATGTTCTTTGCTGGTTCAACAGAGGAGAACTTCCTTGATAGGCATATTTTTCAGAGTAGTCCTTAGATGTGGTGATCTTCCATGTTTGCATAGGTATAATTATGCCTGTTACTCAGGCTATAGTAACAGCATCCTTGCTGGGTTCCAAACTGTGTCTTAACATGCAAATTACCGGGATGCTTGTTAAAATGAAAATTATTAGGTTTCATTTTAGACCAACAGAATCAGAATCTAAGTGGGGAGTGCTGAGGACAAGAATCTAAGATTTTAAACAAGTTTTCCAGGGAACTTAGGGACATGTAAGAACTTGTGGTGTACACTTGTCACATCTGGGCCATCAGAGATCAAGTCTGCTGCAGTGAAGATTATGTACACAGAATAGCAAATACTCAGAGCAAGGCAATGGCAAAGGAACTTAGGTGTGTTCCCTTAACCTCACATCTGTGGTTCACTGTCACCCCAGTCTTCAGGGTCAACAGGCCAGAGTGTAGCTCATCAAAACAGTTTTATGTATTTTAGTGTCTCAAAAGTTTGGTACAGAAATGAAAGTTCCACGTGATGAGTTAATTATTACACCTTATAGTTTAACTCCCTAATATCTGGCCACTTGAAAAGGTGCTTGTTTTTGGATGCTCACATAAATCTCAGGGTACTAGTTTATTTGTGTGACAGGACAGGCTGTTGTAGGGAATTAGATGTACAGAATAATTTTCTAGCAAAAATCTACCTGGTATTTGCAACAATTTTAGGGAATGTAGTATTTACATGTAAATAAAGCAGGTGAATATTTAACTGTGATCTTTCATTCCAGTTAAGGGTTAGATTGTTGCTAGATTGATCTTCTGAATCATAGCTCTGATTATGTTAACAGGTTTTCAATGCCTAGAGAATAAAATTCCGATCCTTTACCTGACATGCAAAGCCTCCCATAGTCTATCTGGGTATGTTTGCACAGTTCCCATACTTCTTTCTACTCTTGCCACCGCTATTTCCCCATTGCTTTCTGCTTCCCTTAATCCATGCCTTTGCCATCTGTGGTCTCCACCTGAAATCCTCTTCCCTTCAAGATCCTTTCCCAGTGGTATCTCCATTTGATCCTTTTTCAAACACTGCCATTGAGTTCCATCTTCAAGTGGTTTCTTTATTCCCTGATCCCTCAGAGCATTTTATTTAGCCCTCAGTAGAGGCATTTATAGCTTTTTATGTTATGTTGTAACTATAGTTGTCTCTTTTAGTCAATTTGACTTTAAAGTCAAGAATTGTAAGTCATCTTTCATCGTTCCATTTAATTTCATCTCCTCCTACCAAGTGTCTAAGATAGTTTCTTGATTATGTGTGTATGCTTATTACATATTTTTAGATAAGCAAATCCATGTATTTATTGAGTAAACACCTTATACAGTGGGCACTTTGGGAGCAATAAAGAGAAGTATAAGAGAAGATTCCTAGTTTCAAGGCCTCCAAATGTAGTTGCTGTGACCAAATATAAACAAGATATTGATAAACTATAGAAGGTATAAATGAGTGTCAGCAGACATGTCATATAATTATATGTGAGCACATAGATACCATATGTAAATCAATAGTGATAAATAGTATTTCTATAGGCAATCATGGGATATAAAGATCAGAATGGACTTTAAAGAGTGCATAGCAGCACGCTTCAGAGCACTATAGCAGCAAATTCTTCAGAGATGATAAAATGTCCAAAAGTAGAAAAAATGAAAGAATATCCTGGCTGCTGGAACATCTTAATTCACATAGCACTAGATTGCTGTACTAGCTATGTGAAGTAAGGCTGTGCTGTAAGAGTGACTGAGCTAATTTAGTGTAGCTTTAAAGAATAAGTAGAAATTTATTCAGCAAAAGTATGCTTATAGAAGAAATATATGGCTTCTGCAGTCCTAGGAAGTATCTGTTTCATCTGTGATTTTACAATCAGCAATTTTACAATCAGCTGATTTTTTTTCATCTGTGATTTTACAATCAGCTGATTTTACATCAGCTACTAAGAGGAGAATAAGGGCCCAGAAATCAGAGCCAGCATTGGTGTGCTCCCCTCTTCTTCTTTGGTGATCTGCAGAGCTTCTGTGAATTTGTCATAGAAATGAAAAGAGACGTATTTTGAGCAGTTTAAAATGTAGCTAAAAGCTAAACAAAGAGAAAGACTTTGTAAAAGTCTAAAAGAAAGTGAGAGTTTATAAAAAGTCACCTGGCAGATAACTATTGCACTGAATAGAAGTAGTCTTTGCTACATAGATGAAATCAAACACTGGAGAAGATAGCAGGGGGACCTTCTTCATATTTAAAACTACCATGTGGGGACCTTGAGTTAACCTTGTCTGTGGGATCACTTTTCAGGCTGTCAAAATAAATGACAATATGTACATAACATGCATTTTGTCCTTTGTTTTTTACATTGCAGTGGAAAAAGTGGCTGTAATTTGCAGATTTCTGGATATTCACTCAGTGACCAAAAACCACCTCCTGAAGTACTCCCTGGCACATGCCTTCTGCTGCTTTCTGACGGCTGTGGAGGACGTCAACCCAGCAGTGGCTACCAGGGCAGGCCTTCTGCTTGACACTATAAAGAGACCAGCGTTGCAGGTGACATGTGATAAATGTTATTTGCTTTGCAGATGTCCGTGTCAGCACCACTGAATCAGTGAATTTTCAAATTTTGTATCCTTTAGCTTTGTGGTAATAAAATACCACTGACATAACCGCTAATAAAATAATAGAAATTTATTTGCCATAGTTCTGGAGGGTAGGAAGGCCAAAATCAAAATGTTGGCAGATTCAGTGTCTGATGAAGATTTATTTTCTCATTCAGAGATAGTGCATTTCCCTGTCTGAGATCTTTATTATTTTTTTAAATAAAGACCCTTTATGCATTCATAAAGGCTCTGCCCACAAGACATAATCATCTCTCAAGGGCCCCAACTCCTAATAGTATCACATCCAAGGGAGTGAGATTCCAACATATTAATTTTTTGGGAGGGGAAACACAATCATTTAGAATACAACATCATGTAAACAGATTATATTGATGATAATGGTAACAGTGGAAATTTGTGTGTGTTAAAATGCATGTTACTAAGTTGTCATAAAAACAAAACACACAAAAAAGCTGCTTTATCAGAAGTTGTATGTGTTGGAAAATATTAAATATTAAGTCGGTAAAAGGAAATTTTTTTTTTGGTACCAGGGATTGAACTCATGACCTCATGTTTGCCAAGCAGGCACTTAGGCTGCTGAGCTAAATCCCCAGCCCAGTAAAAGGAAACTATTAGCTATTAAATTGGAAAAAGGACTCCTAGATCTATACTTTCATAAAAGATCCTGATTAGTACTTTCATCTCAGTCTTTGTCAATATATTCGTATCACTTTTGGACAGATGAAATTATTATATAACTTCTGGTGTGTGTGAATATATGATACATTTTTAAACTAGACTGGAATCCCTTGTCATTAGAGATTAGATGTTAATAAAAATCAGATGCATTGCGTATAATCACAGTAGAACATGAGAAGGTAATATGCTGTCAAAGTGAAATGCCACATACTAACGCCAGAGGCTTGAACTATAAGACCTAATATATTTTATCTTTGTGTCCTTTTACTTATAAGTGATAAATTGGATTTCAGGGAGAGAGAATGTGACTTATCAAAGTGCATTAGTGAGAAAATCAAGAGTAAAACCTCTATTTTTTTACTTTGATACCAATTTGTTATTTTGCTTTCATTATTAAAACTAATAATAATAGCAAGAGTTGTATTTGCCAAGCAGATATTTTGTTGCCAGGGAAGTGATTTTAAAAGAGTACTGTCACATGTTATCTTATTCAATCCACACAATAACCTTTTTATATTCCCATATTACAGATAGAGAAGCTGAAGGTTAGGAAAGTAAGGTAGCTTTTTAAGAGTCATATATCTAGTAAGCAGAATAAGTTCAGGTCTGTCTTATAATAAAGTCCATGTTTTTAATTCTGTGTATGTGTGCACTGGTCGAAGTGCAAGGGTTCTTCCTATATTTTAATACCTATAAGCAAGGACAAACTGTTGAGAATCTGATAAAGGGCAGGCAGGGCTGTGGCTGCCTGTGGCATACTTTGACTTGTAAAACCTCTATTGTTTCTAGTCAGTCCTCTCTGTTGTCTTGTCTGGTACTGTGTGTCTTAACGTTGCTCAGGGCTTGGAATATGGGAGGCATTCATTAGGTGGTAGACAGATGAATAAATGGGATGGCTGGGTAAATTATAGTTTTTAATTTCAGCCAGTTAAAAAGAGAGGTAATGCTAGACACATGGATGAGGGCAATAGGTGCTCCATCCATCCCAACTCTCACTGTTTAACAGTCCCTGTTCTACTCATATTCCAAGAAGACAAGATGACTTTATTCTGTTTTAGTATTGCATTATTCAGGATTGAAATGGAATTTAAAGGCCATCTTCTCATGTATTCTAGAATGTAGCTTTAAAAGAATGCTTCTCTTACTGAAAACTGTAGACATTAAAAAAGATATTCTGCTTTGGTGATATTTGAATTAAGTGCTTATTTAATGCACTAAAAATCAATAACATAAAAATTCAAAAGATATTCTATAATTAGAATTTTTCTGAATTTTCCTACTAAAACTTCACATTGACATATTTCGATTGGATCATTTTACTTGTAAGTATGGATGGAGGAGGTTGCTTTGTTTCATTGACTGTCTATAGCATATTGTCTTTGAACTGTCGTAGATGTTTACATCTGATTTTTTTTTCTCTCTTTCCCAGGGTCTGTGTCTTTGTCTTGACTTTCAGTTTGATACCGTGGTTAAAGACAGACCCACAATATTGAGCAAGCTTTTACTCTTGCATTTTCTTAAACAAGATATTCCTGCTTTGAGCTGGGAGTTCTTTGTCAATAGATTTGAGACTCTTTCTCTGGAAGCACAGCTACATTTGGACTGCAACAAAGAATTTCCTTTTCCTACAAGTAAGTAGAATAAAGCCTTTGTTGTAAATAGCCATAGTTCCTGTTGTTCTTGATAGGCCAGCAGGAGACACTTGGAATGAGATTTAATTTCTCATGTGGAAGGTGATGTCTCTCTTGATTTCTTGAACTCAGTTCATCACATTTTTATGGAATATCTTTTATACTAATCCATGGATTTAACTATATTCTGGCACTCCAAAATCTGAATTCTTCACATTTCCTTGAAGGCCTTTTATAATCATTTGTGACGTAGGACCCTTAAATATTATTCAATCACTATGTTTTCAGTGTTTGGGAACAATTTTGTGAAATGTATTTTGCAATCTGCTTACCCTGTTTGTTAATCACTTGATTACATTTCTAAATAGATGGGGAAGAAATTATAAAATGATGTAATTTAATTTTGTTGTCTAAACAGAAAAATGATAAGGCATGGTGGATAAAGAACAGTCATGTTTTTCTTTAGGCAAAATTCATTATAGAAAGAGATGGGTAACTCACACATCTGTGCAAGATGTGTTTTTGTACTGAAACTGTATACGAATGGATCATTTCAAACTAGCTTTGTGACATAGCCAGGAAAGGGAAATAATAACTTTTTAAATTCCTCTTCAAAAGCTATCACTGCTGTGAGGACCAATGTTGCTAACCTCAGTGATGCTGCACTGTGGAAGATCAAGAGGGCTCGCTTTGCAAGGAACCGCCAGAAGAGCGTGCGGTCTCTGAGGGACAGTGTGAAAGGGCCTGCAGAATCCAAGAGGGCACTCTCCCTCCCTGAAACCCTGACCTCCAAAATTCGTTGAGTATCTTTTCCATTAAATTTGTTTAATGTCTTTCTGAGGCTGATTTTTCTTGTTGAATGTTCACAGAGAGTAGCAGATTTAGTAAATTGAGCTTGTTTGAAAAGTTTGGCTTTCAGATTCCCTAGAAAATCATCCTGGTGTGTAATGTCATGAAGGGCCCTTTTTAGTTGGTAGGTCTAGCAAAGCCTTGATCCAATGATAGATTCTTTTGAATTGTAGAAGGCAGAAGAATTGATTCTTGGCATGGAACCTACAAGTCCTAGAATTTGAATGTTTGCACACCAGCGTTGTGAACTAAGTGCTTTCTGAATAACAAGATCTGTGTGGCTAAGAGGTAGTGCTGAATTTTAAAACCCATTTTCTTTCCTTATATGCTAGAGCAGCCATATAATCCCCAAGACAAACCAATAATGATTGGTTTTGAAAAAGAAGTTTCTACTCAACTTTACCATATAATTTATAGATAGAACAATCTTTGTTGTTTATTACAAAGCAGTTTTCATATATAATTCTTTATAAAAATGTTGTCCTTTTTTTTGTTGTCCTTTTAAAGAGAATAAGTTTTTTGTGTATCAAAAAACTTTTTTTGTTGTCCTTTTAAAGAGAATAAGTTTTCTGTGTATCAAAGGACCTGATAAATTCTAATGTTTTCCAATGGCACAAGAGACAAATAATTAAAAATTCATAACTAAATTACCATGTTAATGAATAAATATATTTAAATATATTACTAACATAAAAATCATTAATGGACTTAATCTTTAAATGATATCTATGAAATTAATAAAATAACATTTAAGACATTGTTCTTATCCTGTCAGAAACTGAAAGATCTGCATTTTCTTTGGCATTTATTAGAAAGCAGCCTTATACCCATTTTTAAACTGCAAATATGATTTGAGTTGATTTATTACATTTATGACAAACTGTGGGAATGTGGTATTTTGAAATTTGGAAGAGTCAGCAAAAACCCTTAAGTAATTGATAACCCATGTTTTTCCACGGAGCAGAGATAATTAAGGTGATCATTTAAGAATAACCTAGAGTGGTGTGAGAACCTAGGCAAAGCTCAGATCCTAGAAACCTAGATTAAATAAATTATAATTTTTACATGAATTTCCCAGCTTGTTTATAATCTTGCTAATAGTTCGGGATATAAAAGTTATTTATTGTTTATTTCTTATTAATTGATTCACATGACAATTTTGAAGATTAAGAATTGAAGTAATATTGAAGAGGTTTTCTTAATATCCAAATAAAACCACAAAGCTTTTGTTGCATAGACATCTTTTATGTGATGTTAATTATAAGTAGGAAAACTAACCTTGCTCCTAACATCCAATGCAGTTAGCACTGAGTATGTTTTATAGGCTCAAGTTGTCTGTAATGCTTATTGAAATAGAGTTGTTGTTGATTTTTAAGCTATGAGGTTGACCAGGCAAGAGCAGTCTGCTCCAGCTCTCGGTGGGACACCTGAACAGACGCCAGGTGGGTACTTCTGACATTGAAGGGCTGTATACAAGTGTCTGCCATAGGTGGACAAGATAAGAATTTGGTGCAATCTTTGTTGCAATCTAACTGGACCAGAATGATATTCTTAGGATTCACAAGTTCATAAAGGTCTTATCCCAGATGCTCAAATATTTGAGTCCCTGATGTGGCAGCCCTTTCCATTTTATTCTTAGCAGAAGAGTTTTGATCCCATTAGCTTTTGGTCCAGTAAGAAGCATCATATTATTTGAGTTTGGACATTTCCCAGAGAGCAAATATTATAATAACTGTACACAGCACTTATATTTGTATGTGTATTTGCACATAGAAATATTATGTTCATGTGTATCTGCTATAAACAAGACATATTTCATTTACATTTTTAAAGGTTATACATTTGAACCACTATCATCCACTCATTCCCTTAGCTATTCCTGATTTGCAGTTCTGCATGCATTTCTGTTCTCAGAGAAAAGAGGAATTCCATTATTTAGGGGACTTTAGGTTTATATCTAGCATGACATAGTGTGATTTATCATTTGATTTCTATGATATTGCATCCTGAGCATTTCTATGAGCATCCTGAGGGTGGAAGAGCCATTGACAAGGAATTTTTTTTATATTTTAAAGAGAATAAAACAAAACAAAACAGAATAAAGCAAATCAGAACAGAACAATGCAAGTGATACAAAAGTCAAAACAAGATAACAGGAAATCAACAATGGCTACCATAATGTCTCTCATTTTCTTCAAAATAGCTGTCCATGCCATCTCAATAAAATCAAACAGAACAAAACCAATCAAAATAAAAGAATGAAAGTATTATAGGACTTCAAAATAAGATAACAGGAAATCAACAATGGTTACTGTCTCTTGTTTTCTTCAAAATAGCTGCCATACCTTCACACATAATAAAATCAAACAATACAAAACAGACTAAAACCAATCAAAACAATAGAATGAAATCATTACAGGACTTCAAAACAAGATAATAGGAAATGAACAATGGCTACTCTAGTGTATCTTGTTTTCTTCAAAATAACTGTCCATAGTATCACACATAATAAAATCAAATAAAACAAAACAATAAAACCAATCAAAAGAATGAAAGCATTATAGGACTTCAAAACAAATTGTTGATAGGAAATCAACAATTGTTACCATAATACATCCCATTATCTTCAAAATAGCGTCCTATACCATCAGACACAGTAAAATCCAACAAAACAAGACAAAATTATGACATAACAAAATTATGAAAGTGATACAACAATTCAAAACAAGATAATAGGTAATTAACAATGCTTACTACTTTCTCTTTTAGGCATTTCTTCTTCTATCACTTTCATGGTATCTTCTGTGCTTTTTGGATCCCACTAACTCCTTCAGTTTTTTATTCTAGGGCGATAAGTTGGTGTTCACCTGTATGAGTACAAACGATTTCACACATGAGCATGATCTGCAGTTGCATCCATTTACCTACAAGAACCATGAGATTATCCTACTTTATAGCTGGGTAGTCTTCCATTGTATGAAAAAACCATGTCTTTCTTATCCATTCTATTGTTGATGGGCAAGTTACCCTTGCTTTTTTCTGGTCGCCTGTTATGTGGAACAATTGTTTTATCTCCTTTGACTTACAGTCTATGAATTTCCTTTTGAGTTAAATGTATTTGTTGTATACAGTATATTAGTGGATCTTGTTTCTTAATCCACTCTCCCTGTATTTGTTTATATTGGTGAATTGAGGTCATCTACATTAATGGTTACAGCTGGCATGCATCGATCCATCTTTGCCATGCTATCCTACTGTTGTTCACCTTCCACTTTTCCCCTTCATTCAGTTGTCTGTCCTGTTTGGGGATCCTTCTCTGCTACTGTTCTTGGAACCCTGGTCATTTTTATCTTTCTCTAGAATATCCTTCAGTGCTCTCTATAGGGTTGGTTTGGTGGTCATGAATTCTTTCATTTGTTCTTTATCATGGAACTATCTTATGTCTCCATTAATTTTGAAAGACAATTTTGCAGAGTACATCATTCTGGGTTAGAAGTTGTTTTCTTTCAGGATTTGAAACACTTTATTCCAAATTTTTGACTTGATGGTTTGTGTTGACAAGTGTGCCATGGTTCTGATTGGTTTTGCTTTATAGATGATCTGTTTCTTTTCTCTAACAACTTTTAATATTTTGTTCTAGTGCTGAATTTCTAGGACCTTGGTAAATTATATGTCTGGGTATAGATTTGTTTTGGTTATGACTATTTTGAGTTCTATATGCCTCACTTATCTGTATACCAGATCCTTTTTCCTATGTTTCGGAAGTTTTCTGCTATCATTTCTGTAAACAGTCTTTTTGTGTCGTTTATGTTGACCTGTGTTTCTTTGCTGGCAACTATTACTCTAAAATTATTTTTCTTTGCATCATCTTGCAGCCATTGAATTGTTTTTTCTTAGTTCCTTGTTATTTTAAAGAGGTCTTTCCTTTCATGATCACTAGTTGTAATCCTGTCTTCAAGGTCAGAAAGTCTATCTTCAGTCTCTTTCAAGTGATTTTTGCCAGGTTTTGATTGACTTTTTAATTTCCAGATATCTCTTTGAATCTGTTTCATGCATTGTAATTCTTTCCTATATTGTTCATTCAAGGTTTCAATCATTTTCCTGTGCTCCTCTTTTTTTTATCTGTCTTATTTAGATATGTTAAGCAATTCTTTCATTATATTTCTTCTTTTACCTGAGACATTATTTGTGATTTGATTGCTGTTACAATCTCATGAAGTTGTTTCTTTACTTGAATTGCCATCCTCTCAGAGATTTCAGGTGTGTGACTCCATTTTTCTTCCATGACTGTATCTCGCAGACTTGTTCTGTGTGGAATGGAGGTCTGAGATTGCCTTTTGCTCCTTTGTCTTGACGTTCTCCTGGGTTCCTTCCAACAAGCTGGTTGTGGGGTCCCCAGAACTTCCCACTTTGGTTGCCCCTTCATGGTGTAGGGAAATGGGACAGGCACTTGGGTTCCTCTGACCCCAGGTTTAAAGGGAGTAACAGGGCATGTCCAGACCCATGCAGCTACACTGAGGTTTCCCTGATGGACAGGGGTGGGTGGTCACAGGACTGCTTCTCTCAGCCTGCATGTCTACACTGTGACTCCCCTGATGGTGGCAGACACACAGGAGTGTGTTTGTCTGATTCTCCCAACGAGTGTTGGCTGCCTGAAGGAAACAAAGGTCTCCAATGGTGGTCTGTATTGAGCATATCTGGCTGGGTCTCTCTGCCTGCACTGGCTGCCCACAGGAAGCAAGCCTTTTCAGATAATGACGACGAGCTGCAGAGGTGAATCTAGCTGCATGTTCCTGCCTGCACTGCCGCCTGCAGGAAGTAAGCTTTCTGATGACTTGCCAAGGATATTATGACTGAACATTATGCACACCAGTGGTGCCATTATTCACTGGGAAGATTGGAGAGGTTCTGAATACCTGCTTATTTGTCAAAAACAAATTTGGCACCTACTACCTATGTATCATAGTACAGAATATTTAGTTTTCAATCTAGGTAACTTTTAAGATAAACTTTTCAGAATGTTAGTAATCCTCTCAGAAATAACATTTCAAGAAAGAGGATTTTGAGGATAGCATGTATTATGTGTTATAGAAAAATTACTTGAAAGAGGAAGTCAGGAGTAGGAGAGGAAAAAAGCAAACCCCAAAAGTTGCGAATGCAGGTGGCAGATGGTGGCCAAAAGTATATTTTCTCTTTTAAAGCTGATGAGAAAAAAGGAATAGTGGGACTTGCAGAGTCCTTATACCTTGATATATACATTGCTCATCTTTCTACTGTGCTGTGATTTTAAAAAAGAAATAGGATATAAATAAGTGTCTGATCCAGAGCTTCATTGGAAATGTGAACTCCAACCAGCAGTTCCCATTCAATTAGGCCTCTTTGAGATTGCTCTTATGTAATTTGATGACTTTTCTTAATTTTTTCTCATCTTTTTCTCTTAAGGCTTTGTTGAAATGCTAGTCTTTAAATACCCATTTTAATCCAACCAAAAGAGTCCCTCTGAAGGAAAACAAGTACATGTGTTTCTTGAAGTTAAGAAAAGCTTTCACTCACCTAATTATCCCAACAAATGACCAAATGGGAAAGAGATAGATAATAACATTGTTTAAATTAAATATGAAGCTAACATTTTTAGGAAGGTAATTTGCATGACACTCCTATAAGTAAAACTTGCTTGGTTTTGGAAACAGTTGGCTTCCCTCACAAGGCAGTTTCAAACTGGTGTTCCATTTTTTACATTGTTACTTGTTGGACGTTGAATGTTTTAATTTGGAGGAAAGGCAGACCAGGATATTCATAAAATAGTGCAGGATGGTTTAAAATAGGAATTAAGTGGAGACCAAAGGACTTGCTTAAAGATCATTCTTTTGTTTGTTCTAAAGTAATGAGCTCCTCTGTGCAGACCTCTTCTTGAGGAGGCCTGAAATAAAGCAAATACTTAGTTGAGCAGCAAGACTTAATTTTGATTACTTTTTATACGGAATGTTTTTGACGACTCTTTGATCTTATCCTTTACATAGGAATCACAGCAAATGAAACAGAAAATTCTATTTTCTGCCAAAGGTGTATTCTTCAAGGCTTGTAAGGAGCTGATCCTCTGTGATTTTTATGAGTCAAACTGAAAGCCTTTGTACCTATAAAAAAAATTCATAGAATGCTATCACTGAAACATTAGAGATACGCTAACATCCCCATTTCATAGAAACATTTTATAGACTTTTGCACAAAGGAACAAGTGTCACAGGCTTGTTGGTGACAGATACGGACCTCAAGCCCAGAGTTTCTCAGTGCCCTATTTATAAGTCACATATGATCAGTACTTCTAGGAATTCAGCACTCTTTTTCATCCTAACAGATGAAATGTACAATATTTTGAAGTGCTAACCTGAAACCTGTGCAATTAGATGTAAGATATATTTTTGCTAATGTTAATGCATTTTTG